TCTTATTGGTCCATCAGATGAGGCATCGACTACCTCAAACACATCCAGATTTATAAAATAAGATAACTCAAACAGTACAAAATATATAGTTGAAACTTGAAAGTTAAACTATCTGTGCTTGGATCAAAAACGCAGAACTCATGATGACAAATGTTAAATAAAATAGGACAAAAAGGGTGCAACAAAAATCTAAATTTCTTGTGTGAACATTATTAGCCCACTATGATGTTGAGGCAATATCCTCTGTTGTCTTCTGGCGTTTCAGGTCTGGCTCATCCTCAATCATATCTTCTTGCTGCTCGTCTTCTTCTTCTGCTCCTGCTTCCTTGCGGCCATTGATATGACCGTTAACTGCTTCATGACCAAGAAGCGAGACGTGTTTGCTTGTGATTTGACGACCAGCCCTTATCTTTGGACCCCAATGCTTCTCTGGGTTTGGCAGAAACCGGGCTACTTTCTTCGCCTGTGCTTTGCTAAGTGAACCAATGTGGCGCGAAAAGTCAGCCTGTCCGAAAGAAAAAGCAGTGTTTAAAATAATATTCAAGCTTCAAACTTTATTAGGCATCATCTACCAAATCAACTCAAAGAATGAAAGCTTTAGAACAATGGCATGAGAAAGAGGGACCTGATGAGATGGTTCTTTAGATAGAATCACACTTCCGGGAAGTTCAGGTGATTGCGCCTTCACGGGATGATTTTTCACCTGCAACCAAAATAGTTCATCGTTATCACCGAGAGAGCAAAAATAATAAAGACAGTTAGGCTTAGTTGAGGAAAATGAAGGTACAGAGATTGTTTACCCAGCACCGCATGATGTCCCACATAATCTCCATCGGAGCATCGGTTTTAATCCCTAGCGGACACACATGGGAACCCGAGACACGGTACTTTGCATTGATTATCGCTGATCGAAACAAAGCCGCTGACGGTGAAGTACATTTAAGCGTAGCAGAGAGACTATGAAGGCTAAAAAAAAGTGGAACATCAGGCAATTCCTGGAGACAAGCCAAACAAATAGGGGTTTAGAGAAATTGAACCAAACCAAAAATCGGAACTTTAATAAGTTTGGAAGAGCGTTTTGCCTCTGAGATGGTGGTAAGAACAGAGCAGATTTTGTCGTAAGCAGGATATCTGTCTTTCATGGATTTAACACCGTTTAGAATAGAAGTCACCCATTCTTGATCGTGAATTGGAGCAGACCATATCGGTCCACCCATGTAAAATTTCTTTCCACAATGAGTGCAGTCCTGAGGAACAACAGGACCAATTGCTGCTTGATACCTCACACTCTTATTCTGCAAAAGATTATAAAAGGATGATAAAAAGGTGGTTTTCAAAAAAGTAACTAAACCAACTATGCAAATGGATATGTCCAAAACCTTAGGGAGAGCTCTTCCAACAGATTGAAGATGAAAGGAATCACAACCAATGCATTGATAGACATATGAGAGCTTAAGTGGAGTGCTCTTCATTGCACTCGCCGAACTGCATTTTCATAAAGCTTTCAATCTCTACTTGCTTCTAGCTGAGAGGAAATGTTTGTAAAGAAATGAAAACTCACGTGTAAACGCGGACAAAAACACGGACGTAGAAATCCATTTGGACTGATAGAACAGGAACAATATACCGCTTGTAGCGATTTGCATGGCTCTGAAAATCAACAATATGACAGCTTTTAGAGAAGAAATAGTAATAGAGCATCTTCAAAAACAATCAAAGCCTAGAAGATTTGGCGCGAGTAAATAAGTAATTTGATTCCTCGTGGTAGCAAAAGAATACCTCGATGCTGGCAAGGAGAATCCGCAAAGCCATCTCATGGCAATATTTGCCTTTCACTGGATAAGACCCATATCTAACAATAGACAGATTTAAGACATTCAGACAAAATTATCGATATTTGTTTAATAAGAGTAAGGTAATACTGAAGGAGAAAAATCTCACTTGGAATAGCAGACCTCGCCGTTAGCCCCACATAAAACAGCCATGTCAGTTGCTGTACACATCAGCAACCCACCATCGGCAACTGATTGAACAGCTGAATCAAGGAATATAGACGGCGCACCATATGGATCAAGATCAACCTAAGACATCAATTAACCAAATTAGTTAACAGAATAAGGCAGAGAGGAAAATGAAAAAGTTTTCAAATCTTTCGACTAAATGAGCATATGATCTTCGCGAAAAATTGAAGGCATACCACATCAAATTCTTTTGGGTGGGTGAGCATATGGACACGAGCATCAGTAAGATGTGACTCCACCTTTGAAGTAGACATCAGGCCATTGAACTTTATGTTTCTCTGGCAAGCTTCAACGGATGCTTTAATAGGAAAATGGTAATACTATTATTAGTCGAGTTTCGAAACCTCTTCTCAAGCACAAATGTGGGGGAAATGAAATACCTGGGTCATTATCTAAAGCCACAACTTGACCAATTCCTTCAACTTCACGAGCATATCTCAAAGCCCGTAACCCTGAAGCTGACAGAGCCTAATAGATTTAACAACACAAACAAAAAAAAGTTATCTAACAGAAAAGCACGATAGACAAAGTAATAAGAAAACAAAGTAATAGTTACCTCAAGCACTCTTGGCGGCTTGAGTTCCCTTCGTGCAGATTCATATGCGGCCTTGGCAGCTTCCGTTGTTCCATCCTGAGATGTTGCTTCATGTTCACCGTTGGTTTCACCATTATCCTCGCCGTTTTCAGTAGGAGTTTCGTCCTTGGAAGTTTCAGAGACAACCTTCTCAACCACTTTTCCTGATGATCTAGCTCTTTTAGATAACATCGCCTCATGCTCTTGCTTGCGTTTGGATATAAATGCCCTTAATACAGCAATGGACATGTCCCTATTGTTCACCTAACCACCAAAATAATAACCAATTCATTTAGCTCACAAGTATATCCATATGAATTCAAACAATAAACATTGTCTAAGAAACTTCAGTGTGTGCTAGAATTACTTATAGTTTCTCACTAACACAAAAAGACACTAACCTATACTAATTTGAAATCTCCAAAACTAATCATTAAAAGCAAAGGCATTAGTAAAAAAGCTAAAAACACTAAATTTGAAATCTCCAAAACTAACACTTGATCAATTCCAGAAAGGAAGAAACTTTTGCAGCAAATCAAATCCAATT